GGGGTGGCCACGAGTGCGCTGATGCACTCTAGCCTGGGCGATGGAGTAAGACTCCAACTCGAAAAAAAGAGTAACAATTCAACAGTTTTTAGTGCAGTTTCAGAGTTTTGCAGCCACCACTACAATCAATTTTAGAACATTTTCATCACTTTCAGAAGACACTACATAACCATGAGCAATTACTTTCCCTACTCTCCCCACCCTCAACCCCTAGAAACCCCCAGTCAACTTTCTGTCTCTATGGAACTGCCTCTTCTGGACATTTCACAAAAATGGTGTCATGCAACACATGGCCTTTTGTGTCCGACTTCTTTCCCTAGGACAATGTTTCTGAGGTGAACTGATGTTGTAGCATGTGTCAGTACGTCATTCCTTTTGACTGCTGCATAATATCCCATTGTGTAGATGCACTACATTTTGTTTATCCATCCATCAGCTGATGGATCTTTGGTTGCATCCACTTTTTTGTTATCATAAACAATGCTGCTATGAACTTCAATCTACAAGTCTTTGCAAGGACACATGTTTTCAGTTCCTTTGAGTATCTACCTAAAAGTGGAACTGCTGGGTCAGCTATAGCTCCGTTTGGCATTTTAAGGAACGGCCAGACTATTTCCCAAAAAGACTGCACTATTTTGCATTCCCAACATCAGTGTGTGAGTGTTCCGATTTCTCCACCTTCTCACCAACATTTGTTCTTATCTGTCTTCCTGACGACAGCTGTCCAGCTGGTTTGTGGAGTTGTGTCTCACTGTGGTTCGACTTGTGCTCCCTGATGGCTAAAGATGTTGAGTATCTGTTCACGTGTGTATTGGCTGCTTGTTTGTCTTCTTTGGAGAAATGTTTGTGAAGCTCCTTTGCCCATTTTTAATTGGGTCGCTTGTCTTTTCATTATTGAATTGTAAGTGTTCTTTATATAGTCTAGATGCCCAGCCTTATCAGATATAAGATTTGCAAATATTTGCTCCCACTTGATGAGCTGTCTTTTCATTTTCTTTATAGTGTGCTTTGAAACATAGATATTTAAAAGTTTGATAGCATACAGTTTATCTATTTTTTTCTTTTGTTGTTTGTACTTTTGGTGTCATAGCTAAGAAACCATTACCTAATTTAAGGTCATCGAGATTTATGCCTAGGCTTTCTTCGAAAAATTGTATAGATTTAGCGCTCATATTTAGGCCTTTGGTACATTTTGGGTTAATTTTTGTACGTGTAGGGCCATCTTGTTTGATTTATTATTTTCTTTTACATTCTTTTTTTTTTTTTTTTAACAATCTGGATAACAGTGTCTCATTTTATCTCAGTTACTATGGCCCAGTAAAATCAGCTCGCCACCATGCCATTGTGTTCCCACTGTGAACTCTACAGGAAGCTATCCTTGAGGACTAGTGTGGGCTGTGCCCTCCTCACCCCCACCCCTGGCTACAAAGACTCCTGAGAATCCTGAGATAAGCAATTCTTCTCTTGGCTGAGTCACCAGTCACTTCTAAGTCCTTTGGCTAAAACACTAATATTTGTATTGCAGCCACGTTTTCCAAGCTCTTTCCAGAGGTGGTCAGCCACTTTCTCCCTAGCTGGGGATAGGAAACAAGGAAAGGACCCTGGCCCAGGTCAACTGCTGGGGAGGGCATCAGGTCACTTGGTACCAAGCAGGCAGGTCTTCTGAGAAGGCTGGCCTCTGTGTCACACCACAGTCAAAATCCCAGGGAAGACTTCCGGAAGGCAGGGACCGTATCTTATTTGTCCTTTCGCGACCAGGGCTTGGTATGTGGTCTGCCACAGCACAGAAGCAAGGTAAATATCTGGAGGAAGAGTGAGGCGGAGCTTAAATGCCAGCCTAGAAGGACTGGGGGCGGACAGTGTCCAAAGGGAGGGGCATCTAAAGGGGCATGGGCGGGCTCTGGAGCTGACACTGTCTCCTTTCCCTCAGGGGCTTGGCCAGCAGTGGAACAAGTGTTACATGATCCATGTGACTCAGAGAAGGTGGTCATTGGGCACCTGGGGGAAGCTGACTGGCTCCTTCCAGACATCCTTGGGAAAGACACTCAGTTTTCACTCCCGGTGTGTGGAAAGTTCATACTCCGCCAAGTATATGAGCTCCATGGAGGTGGGGGCTTGCTCCTCATCTCACAGAAAGCAGGATTGCAGTGTCCACCTGCTCCAGTCTGGCCCAAGCTCAAGGCCAAGCATGACCACGTGGGCTCACCCCAGGACCGGGCGAAGGAAGGAGACCAGCTGTTTGCCAGCGTGCTGGCACCAGAGAGAACAAGGCAGCTTCTGCACTGCCCGCCAGCAGTTGGATAAGGGCCTGGCTGCGAACCCAGTTGGCAAGTGATGGAAAGAAGAAGAGGGAACATCTGCCCTGCACTGCTGGGGCATGAAGGGGGCTGTTGATGGGTGTATTCAAGCTATAAGCCATTGTGTTGAATTGAATTGTATCGTCCCAAAGCTATGTCCAAGTCCTGACCTCTGGTACCTGTGAATGTGACCTTATTTGGAAATAGAGTCTTTGCAGATGTAATTAAATTAAAGATCTGGAGAGGAGACCATCCCAGATTTAGGTAGGCCCTAAACCCAATGACTGGCATTCTTGTAAAAGAAGGGAGGGGAAGACTTGAGACACACAGAGGAGGAGGCCACGTGAAGACAGAGGCTGAGTTTAGGAGAGATGCTGCCCCTGGCCAAGGAATGCCTGGAGCCACCCCAAGCTGGAAGGGACAGGAAGGATCTTCCCCTCAAGCCTTTGGAGGGAGCAAAGCCCATGACACCTTGATTTCCAACATCTGGCCTCCAGACGTGTGAGAGGATAAACTTCTGTTGTGTTAGGCCTCCCTGTTTCCAGGATAGCCCTAGGAAACTCATAGCGTCCAGGCTGGAGCCAGGGCCAAGGCACTATTTCTGCGGTTTCTGCTTTTCCCAGGACACTGTAGTCCTGCTCAGGAGGACAAGCCCCTGTCCCCCACCCACCACTCACGAGTTCCCCAGACCCGTCCAAGCCCTGTGCATCGACTGGGGCACTTTCAGTAGTGCCTGAGAGACACCCATGGGAGCCCTGCACCCTCTGCGAGAAACAAGACAACTCAGGGCACAGTACACACCCTCTGGGCACCCATGTCCGCAGGTGGGAAGCAGAGGGGCCCCGAGGCCTACAACAGGCAGGAGGTGGGCATCGAGGTGGGGAGGAGAAAAGAAAGAGGATGCAGTTCAATGAGTAAACGGATCAGGCCAGGATGCTGAAAGACACAATTCCAAGTTTAATGTTTTCTGGTAAGAGCACTGGGGAGCACAAGCTCTGCTCACGGGCACCTGCGGAAACATAGCATTTAGAGTCTGAACCAAGGTCAGAACCAAAGATCACCAGGCGGGGGGAAAGAAGGCCTGTGCATGGAGGCTTGGGAGCCAAAATGGGTAGCGAGAGTGGCCCAGGGACTGGGCATCAATGTAGAGTGAGATGGGGGAGGGCTGTGGGGTTCCCAGAGGTCAGGGGCCACCTGGGGATGCAGGGCTGCCAGCTGCCGAGGGCAGAGTCAGAGCACCAATTAGACACGGCAACCCTGCTCCAGGCAGTCCTGAAAGAGCCACGACTCTCCTGACATCCCACCGCCTGAGAGTGGGTTCTGACCCATGGTTGGGACGTGCATTTCCTCTTCTATCTGGTCTCAGAACTGACTGAGGCGTCCAGGAGCCCGGGAAACAGGAAGATGGGGAGCTTTCCAGCCCCTTCCAGTTCTATCCTGCTCTGGGACCCAGAGAAAGCCCCTCCCGCATTGCCTTAGGCTGCCTATCAAAGACCTGGGTGAGGGTGGTTGTCGGGCGGGGGGGGGGGGGTGTCCCAATGGTTCCATCAACCTCACTGCAAACCAACATAGTGGGTGCAGAGATGGGATGCTGAAGCCAAGAGGAAATAGGACTCTGAGGTGGTGCATGAGGCATTTGATAGAAAACAAAATCAAGGGCTCTGGAACTTTCTGTGGCTGCTTCCATGTGGGAGGAGGAACAGAAAGCCGATACCAACATGGCAGTGTGGAGGCCCCACCCAAGGCTCGGGGGTGGCATGGGGGAATGTAACCAAGCTGTGTCTGATAGTACCAGGATCTTTGCCCCTCACAGACACACCTGCAGATCTGGAGGTCCCAGAGGTCCCCAGTCGCTGTCGGGAGCCCATTGACTTGAGTGAGCAGGCTGCCTCTCCCAGCCCAGAGCTAATAGCAGAGGACTCGGCAGTCCCTCTGCGGGGCTGGCAGTGGCTGCCCCAGCTCCAGTCCCCTCACTGCTGTGACTCAGAAAGACCAGCTGAGCCCTCAGATAAGGCCACAGGGACATCAACGGGGCATGGACGTCAACAGAGCATGAACGTGGGTCCAACTGTCCCCCAAGAAGTTCCCTATGTGACCTTAAGCCAGATGTGGTTCCCTGGAGCCCCTCCCTGGCCCCCAGGGCTCCCACCTAGAGCTTCCCTTAGACAGAGTCTCATGCAACCTCAGGCAGAAAAGACCCTCCCTCAGGAGCCAGCAGGTTGCCCAGAGAGGGCAATAATAGCAACACTTTCCTCTTCCCTTACATGGTTTACTTTGATTCTTTCAAGGCCTTTGGAATTTGCCTAGGTATCCCAGGGACAAGAGCAGCAGCGGTGCTATGCTCTGGGACACCCGGCCACCACACAACGATGCGCCATGCGGGGTCACCTAAGGATGTGTCTGCAGAGGGGAGCCAGAGGTCCCCGGCCATCCTCCAGGCACCCCGCCCCAGTGATTTCATCTGCCGTCAACTCCCTACGGAGGCTGCACGATCCGGGACCGCATGGCTGTGTCTCTGCGCCCCGGCCCACAAAGCCGTCTTGTTGAATGCCAAAGCTGGGGAAGCAGAGGCCGAGGAAGCCAGGCTCGGAGGTGTGAGGAAGAAGAGGTGGGGGGGGTCAGCCTGGTGCCGGGCCCTGGGGTCCGCACGGCGCGCGGGGGGGTCGGACAGCAAGAGGAAGGGAGGTCAGCCTCTGGCGGCACAGCAGGGAGTGGCCAGCCAGCTAGGGCTCGGCGGCGTGCTTGACCAGGTAGCCACTGAAGGTGATGTAGGTGTCGAACTCGTCGCTGAAAATGGCGTTCTCGCGCTCACCCTTGAAGAGGCGCACCCACACCTCGTCCTGCTCCTGCAGCTCCAGCATCAGGCTCTGGCTCTGCATGATGCTACGGTCGCTCACCTGCGCGTACAGGATCACCACCTCCTCCCCGTTCCTCATGATGTGCAGGTACGTCTCCTTCTGGTTCCAGGTGTGCACGTTGAGGCTGAAGAAGTAGATGCCGGGCACGTAGCAGTAGAACTTGCCAGTGAACATGTTGAAGTGGCCGTAGAGGTTCACAAACTCCGTGTCGAAGACCACTGTCTGGTAGTAGTCGTTGCTGTGCAGGGGCTTCTTCCGGCCCACCGAGAAGGCGGCGTAGTGGTTCTTGCACCGGTCCCCCGGGGCCCCCATGGAACCTTTCTGCCCTTTGGGTCCAATATGGCCCCTGGCGCCCGCGGAGCCCGTCTTGCCGTATTTCCCTTGGATGCCTCGATCGCCGCGGTCGCCCTTCTCACCTAAAAGAGGCAGGAAAACACTTGCCGTGAAGTCAGCAATCTAGGCCGGGCGCAGTGGCTCATGGCTGTCATCCTGGCACTTTGGGAGGCCAGGGCGGGAGGATGGCTTGAAGCCAGGAGTTTGAGATCAGCCTGGGCAACACAGAGAGACAGTGTCTGTACAAAAAAAAATTTTTAATCATTTTTTTTTAAGTGGGAAATCGGGTGGTTGTCCTGCACCTTGGCTTCACATTGTCTTGCCCTGGGCGCCATCCTGGTACGGCACCACAGTCCTGACAGGGCAAATGTCACTACTGCCCCTTCCCCCCGCCCCCATGGGAGACTTCCCAACCTGGCACTGGGGCATTTTGGTTCCCAAACTGGTCAAGCAAACAGACTCAGCCTCAAGGATTGCTCTGTTTTCATCCAGAAGCAATAATTTTTTTCCCCTTCTGGAAAGCTCTGGCAAAGTAAAAGGAACATATGGGTTTATCCAAAAGCAACAGGCTCTGTGGCCAGGCCTACAGCTCACTCTGAGCAAATGAACTGCAGATGTCAGGACTGGGCTCAGGATCTGGACTGCAGGCGTGCCCCGTTAGATTTTGCAGGGTTCTGCAAGGTTATCCCCTGTGTGCAGAACCACGGTGATCAGATGGCATTTCCGAAAGCAGGTTGGGGGCACCAGGCCTTGACACAAGGCGTATGGAAGCCCGACTGGAGGATGGGCCCCGAGAAGCCCATGGGCGCCCTCTCCTGCTCTGGGTCCTGTGGACCCCCTTCCAATCCCTCCTCTTGGAAAGGTGCCAGAGCCTCTCAGTGGGGTTTCCCTCTGCCTCCCCTCTAGATGACAGCCTGCCTCTGCTTCCGGTCCCCAGGGATTCATTCAACTTCGCCACGCCCCAATCTCCCTCCAGATCCGCCCCCAGAGGTCCCGCGCTTATATCTTTGCAACAGTCTGACCTTTCAAGATCGTGATGTTGATCTGGGGCACTGGGGTCACCTGGTACACGGGGGCACCGGGGTCGCAGCAGCGAAAGCACCGGGAAGCCGGGAGCTCCTCACCCTGGCTGGGCCTGTATTTCTCATGTTTTTCTTCAGCCCTGAGGGAATAAAGCATCACAGTAAAAGTCATGAACTCTCAGGCCTGAGAATGCTTCTCTCTTCTGCCACCCCAGTGGGCCCCGGGGTGCCTGGCGTGGCCTCTCCTGTCTCACCTGGGCATCTAATCTCTGTGTCTACATTGGCTCAAGGCGAACTCTGGAGTCCTGACTACAGAAGGAGCTCCTGCTTGTGTTCACAACAATAACAGTTGTGGAAACAACAATAACACAAATAGCAAAGATAGGAGGGCTTTGCAGCCAGGCTGCTTGGGAGAAACCCATGCCTTCAGGACACGGACTTTTTTTTTTTTGAGTTGGAGTCTCCCTCTTCCGCTCAGGCTGGAGTGCAGTGGCACGCTCACGGCCACCCCAGCGTCAACCTGCTGGGCTCTGGCGATCCTTCCGCCTCAGCCTTTCAAGTAGGTGGAACCACAGGCACACGCTACCACACCCGGCTAATTTTTGATTTAGTGTAGAGACAAGGTCTCGCCAAGTCACCCAGGCGAGTCTCGAACCCGCGGGCTCAGGCAACCCCCTCACCTCGGTCTCCCAAAGTGCTGGGATTACAGGCTTGAGCCACCCGCCCCCCCCCCCCCCCCCCCACCCAGTCAGGAGAGGGGCCAATGACGCCATACAATGTTGCGACTCCCTACCACACATCTGTGATTCTAGAACATAATACATTAAACTGACTCATTGTAAACAAGAGGTTTCTACTAGATCTTTAGAATTCCTTTGAGCTGCAACAGCAGGAGATGCTAATGTTTCCTAACCTGAAGCAGGAAGGACAGGCTTGTTAGCAGGATGGACGGTGACAGCTCCATGCTGCCTCCTCGTGGCATCTGACAGCATTGTATCATGCTCTCTTGCTTATGGTTCCTCTTGCCCAGGCTCCAGGGCTGTGCAGACCCATCTTGGTGGCAGCGAAGTCCCTGCCAGGGCACCAACCCTTATCTAACTCTGTTTCCACTTTTGAACACCAGATAATCCAGGAAATGGATTTGCACGCCCAGAGTTCAGCCACCCACAAGCCTGGGACTCCCAGACGCACATTCGCATCCCTACCTCTCTCCTAAGCCCCAGACCTTGACTTTAAACTTCTCACCTGAAGTCTCCATCTTAAAATTCAACAGGGCTCCACAAACATCACGTATCCAAAACTGACACCCCCGTCCCCATCTCGTCACCACTGGAAACTTCTCTTTCCAAATTCTGTCTGGCCTCATCACGAGTAACCCAGGATGGAGTCTTCAGCCTCACTTCAGGTGCCTCACTGGCCTCCCCATGACATTCAGCCGAGTCCTGAGGGCTCAGTCCCTCCCCCAACGGCCTCACACCCTCCAGACCCAGGCCCTGACCCGCACATCCCTAAGGCACCACTGCCATTTTGATTGACATATCTTCAACCTCTCCCCACATCCGTTCATCCTCTTTGCAGCCTCCCTCCAGTATTCTTGCTAGAACCTTCTCTGTGTGCCACATTCCCTATGGGATTAAGATCAGATAAGACCCTCCCCCACAAGACTGAACTGCCCCCAGCCTCACCTGCCCTCCCGTCCTCTACCCTCCACCCTCCAGCTCTTCCTACCTCAAACCACCCACCAGGCCCAACATTGTCAGCCACGCCGCTGCATGCACAGTTCTGGCTGAAGTGGCTTTTCCCTCCTTCTGCACCTGGGAGGCCCTAGGCATCCTTAAAGACCCAGGTATCAGGTCAGGTGTGGTGGCTCACACCTATAATCCCAGCACTTTGGGAGACTGAGGCGGGAGGATCGCTTGAGCCCTGGAGTTCCCGACCAGCTTGGGCAACATAGTGAGACCATGTCTCTACAAAAAAAAAAAAATTAACTGAGCATGGTGCACACGCCTATAGTCCCAGCTATTTGGGAGGCTGAAGCAGGAGGATCTCTTGAGCCCAGGAGGTCAAGGCTACAGTGAGTCATGATCATACCACTGCACTCCAGCTTGTGCAACACAGTGAAACCCTAACTCAAAAAAAAAAAAAAAGAAAAGAAAAGAATGCAGGTATTGCTCACTCCTCTTAGTCTCTCTCTCTCTCTCTCCTATACTATGGAACCTACTGACCTCACTATATGATCACGTGTGTGTCTGTCTTCCTCACAGCTTCGGGGTTCCTAGAGGCCAGGACTGTGCCACTGGCCTGTCGGCCAGTCTAGTGGAGGGCCTGACTGATAGGAGGCACTCAATCAAAAAAACAGGAAGCAGAAGTAGAAAGAAGGTGTGACTTGGCCCCAAATCCCACCCAATTCCATGGTGCACTAAAGATAGCCTGAAGCCCCCAGTATCAAGTCTGCCCAAAACTCAAATATTGAAGAGCCCCAAAGGCAGCTTTGAGTTGTCAGCGGGGTCTTCAGGACCTTATGCTAGATGAATAGCAGTTTAATGAGTCATTCTGAACATTTTGTACATCCCACAAAGCATCCCAAGTGGCCTGGAGTCCCCATGTCATTGCAGGTCATGGATACACCCCAGAGGCCACCCAGAGTCCTTCATACTCTTCAAGGGAAGCCAACACTTGCCCTCTCCACTCCACCCATCCTCTTCCGTCCTGCAGCTTGATGCGACGTGCGGGTCGTGGGCCAACATATCTCCTAAAGCCACTGTCCCTGCCTCCAAGTGGTGCCCAGAATCCTGGCAAAAATTCTCAAGGGACAAAGTGAGAATGGAAATACAGGCTGAAGGGCGGTGTAGGGGCTTGGTCAGCTCTTTATTTAGGGACACGGTTACCAAACCACCTGCAGACCACAGTCCTTTGCACTTGGGATGAGGTTAGGTCACTGTCCCCAGTTTCAGATAAGGTGCCCAGGTCGCCAAAAAGAATGCCAGACTCCACCATGGCCACGCCTCAGCTGTGGCTCTGGCTCCTTCCATCTCACAGTGACTGGCCTCAGGCTCAGCCTGGCCAGCTGGGGCTCCTGCCATGGCCCCCTCGTGGCCCCTCACCTCTCGGCATGGTCCGGCGGGGGTGGCTGCTCCCTGGTGCCCTCCTGTTCCTGCTGCTCCTGTTGGACATGCACACGGCTCAAGACCGGGCCACAGGCAAAGGCCAGCAGCAGACAACACGCCAGCACGAGTCCCCATCCACGGGATCCCATCTTCCCGCTGCACCCTGATGGGAAAGTGACACAGGGGGAAGGAACCAGATTAGGAAGGGACTCCGCAGAGAAACAGCTGGGACATCTGGGGCGCTTGCCTGGCCCCACACCACTGAGAGATACTTCAGGTATGCTCGTTCGGGGTCAACCACACACACACACACACACACACACACACACACACACACACCCATGAATTATGCATGCACACTCTCAATGCATTCACATGCACATGCGCCCACACTCACATATGCACACACGCACATGTGCACACACACACTCACATGTGCAGGCACACTCACATGTGCACCCACTCTCATGAACATGCACACACTCGCATGCACACACACTGACATATCCATGCACTCACATGCACGTGCACACGCTCACACACTCAGCAGAGTGCATGCATGCACACACTCACACATACACACTCATATACACATGCACACTCACACACACACGCTCAGCAAAGTTGAGTGCATGACACACAAACTCACGTGCACACACTCACATGCACACACGTGCGTGCACACACACTCACATGCAAGTGCACACACCTGCATGCACACGCATATGCATACACCCACTGTCCCAGGAGCCTAAGCCTGGCAGGCCAGCATTGAATCTTCGCTGAGCTGTCTGTGCCCACGCTGCCTCTCAGGAAGGAGACCTCATCAGCCACTGGCCTCACGGACAACTATTTACCGACTCTCAGGACAATGAGCAAAATCCCAGCTGAGTTTTGAGTAATCATTGCCCCTCGACTCTGGTAGACGCTGGGAAGGTAGCTGAAAGCTGCTTTCTGGCCACCAGGGGGCGTATCGGTGAGCGTCCTCAGCATCTACTTTAAGGACATGTACGCATACTTTTAGGGACGTGTACCCTGGAGGGTGGTCATCATTCATGGAAGCCCATCCCTTGTATCTCACCACAGTGCTTTGGGCAAAAGCTCATCCAGTATTGAGACAGTCCTTCTAGACAGAGGTGTCCACTGGGGGTTCCAGAGAGTCTAGTAGGGACAGTGCTTGAATTTGAACTAGGCAAAACATCCAGTCTTCCCTGTGAGCAGCTCACCTGGGAGTCTGGGGTCTGGACTCACTCACCCTCTGGCTGTTCGGTGGGCTGGAGAACCTCCCCACCGTGAGAGAGGGCCAGCATGGTCAACTCTAACCCATCTTTGTTTGCCAAAACGTGAAACTCGAAGCCTCACAGGATCCATGCACACACCTCGTTCAACCCTCTCACCTACCCAGTGCGAAACTGAGGCCTAGCAAGCATGAGAGCCTTGCAGTGAAGGCAGGCGTGGACTCCAGGTCTTTCTTGAGAGGCAAATAGTAAAAGCAAGGGGAAACCTCTTGAAAGGTCCTATGCCTGATTTTTCTCTTTTAATTCCTCTTAGATGCTTAAGGAAGATGGATTTTCCTTTTCTCAGTGGTTATATACCCAGATGGCTGCTACTTTTTACTCATCCTGGGAGCTATGAACTCCCTGTAAACATTCTATCCCTCGGGGCGTTGGGGCCTTGACAGACGTACGCCTCCCACTGGTGGGACTTCTTGGCTGTGTTTTCACGAGGAGCGCAAGTGATCCCACAGCGGCCCCTGCTGAGCCCCCATGCCAAGTCAAGAGCAGGGGGAGGAGGAACTGCTGGGCGCCGGTGCCCTGGTGCAGAAAGAGGCTACTTGGACAAGTCCTCCCACCCCAAATCTCTGATAGCTCCCCACCACTTGCCAAAGAAAGTGTGTATGTGCATAGGTGGACTGATAAAATATATATCAAAGTTATCTGTCTATCCATCTATTATCTCTCCAGGCTCCTTGGCAGGGTGTACACAGCTGTCCCTAGACTGATCCCCACTCTTCAGCTATACCTCACGGGACTCCCCTCCTGTGTGCCAGCCTCCCACTTTTCAAATTTTAATGTGCTCACCTGGGGATTCTTTTTAAAATCAGCTTTGGATTCAGCAAATCTGGGTCATGGCCTTGAGGGATCTGCATTTTCATGAAACCCCTGTTGACCACACTTAGAATAACAGGTTCTAGTCACCACTGTCCCCCAGACTTTCTTTTTTTTTTTTTTTGAGAGAGAGAGAGAGAGAGAGAGTCTCACTCTTTTGCCCAGGATGGAGTGCAGTGGTGTAATCATGGTTCACTGTAACTTCGAACTCCTGGGATCAAAGGATCCTCCAGTCTCAGCCTCCCAAGTAGCTGGGACTACAGGTGTGCTACCATGCCCAGCTAATTTTTTTGTGTGTGGTGATGGGTCTCACTGTCTTACACAGGCTGATCTTGAACATCTGGCCTTAAACTGTCCTCCCATCTCAGCCTCCCAAGGTGCTAGATCTTCAGGCGTTAGCCACTATACCTGCCCCCACCCCAAACTCCTGACACCTACCTACCTGCATACTTCCTGGAATATCCTTTCCCCTCCTCTCTTTTACTGGCATACAGTTAGCAGGAGTGATGACTGCACCAGGCACTGTGTTCGGTGTCTGGATCACTTCAATTAATCCTTATAGCCCTATAAGTTAGGGTTACGTTTGAGAACACATCCCCATTAACAATTTTTATCCCATCACAGCTCTCAGATGGACCTGCAGTGAATCCTTCAAGAAGACAATATTCATTCATTATTATACCAAATTTATAAATGAGAAAACAGAGACTTAGAGAAGCTAATTATCTTCAGACTGTTCAACTTTTAAGCAGGGTGGCTGCACTTGAACTCAGAGGGGCTGACCTCAGATGGCAACAACATCCTACCTACCCTGTCTTCAGACCCCGACGCAAGCATCTCATCTTCTTCCTGAAGTCTTCTCAGGTCCTTCCACTGGGAAGAAACTCTCTGTCCTCTTTTTTAAAGTTTGTTTTGCATGTTGTCTCAGGCTGCCGAGAGTTTTGTTTGGCCTGCAAGATTCTACCCAGCATACTGTGCGTGACCTTCTCCAGGCCTGCGATATCCCCAAGCCAGCATCCTGCAGCACCCTGAACTCCACGGGTGTCAACAAATATTTGTCAAATTGAACTCACTAAATATGTTTATTTCTCTATTTCTGTATTTCCTCTGTTTTTCCTCGGCGCCTTAATAACCACTCATTTATTTCCCTTTTAGGTGCCAAGTTTGCGCCAGTTAAAAGGAAAAGAGATTTTCCTTTTTTTAAACTTGTTTTTCCCTGAATTCAGAATGTATTCATTCTGGAGAAGTTGGAGAGTAACAACAAAGGAAGTGATAAGCAACCCTGGATTATTCTACCCGAGGGTTTCTCAATCTTGGCACTATTGCCACATGGGGCTAGTTCATTCCCTGTTGGAAGGGGGAGTTGTCTTGTACCTTAGTGGGGTGCTTAGCAATATGCCAGGACTCCACCCACTAGATGCCATTATCCCTTCCCTCCCCAGATGTGACAACCATCTCCAGACATTGACACGGGTCTGTCCCCTGAGGGGAACAATTACCCCTAACTAAGAACCAGTGTCCTACCCTAATGGAACCAGCTTCTTTTGTTGTTGTTGTTGTTGTTGTTTCATGCTGACATATCCCTTTCTAGTCTGGAAAAGGAGTCTTCCACACCTAGGTCAGAAAGGTTGGGGCCCCCGGTGCAGCCCCTTTAGGGATGATGATGTCATTGGGGGGGGCCTGGGACCGCCCAGCAGAGAGCCAGAGGCTCCAAGCTGAGGGAGCAGCGAGGGCCACCAAGGCCGGTGGTGGCTCTCCTCAAGAGCCTCTTCTCTGGAGCCAGAGCAAACCCAGACTGAAATCTTTCCTTCTTTGAAGAGATCTGAAGGCCCATTTTACCAAACCCCACAGCAAAGTTAGCATCAAGACATTATGATCATTTTAGTCACTTCTGGGCAAAAGCAGTATTTCCCAACATCTGACCAAACTTGGCTCCAGATGACTTTTAGCAATTTCCAGCAAAATGAAGCCCCCCTATAAAGGGTGAGGTTTTGCCCCAAGTGAGGTTATCTGGAAGAATGTGCTAAGCACAGCAGAGGCAAGTCCAGAGAAGTGGCCCCCAGGACTTGTTGACCAGTGGTGTGTAACCCTTGTGAATCTAGACCCACATGCTCCAATCTCTAGACTATGTTGTGGTGAAGACAACCAAAGACATTTTCAACATGACTCAAGCCCTTTACTTGCCTTTCCCAAATCCAATGAATAAGAGCCAGATTCCATGATCATTCTATGACCTTTTTCTCCCACCCATGTCTCTGAGGATCTGCAACTCTTTCCCCAACCCACACGTGCCCTTTTCCCCAACCCACATCACCTACCTCCACCTGAACCTCTCCCCAGAGGGACTGAACCCCACTTTACAGGAGGAGGAAAGGAGAAATTGGGCTCCTTACAAGACCTGGGGGAGGACAGGAATTCTCAGAAGACTTCCTTGTTTATAACTTTTATCCCTTCCCAAATCGTGCATGGATCTGCGATGGATCCTTTAAGGAGACAATATTCACAGACCAGTTCAAGTTTCCCTATCTTTGTCTAAAATCGGTCCCGTTATATTTTGACCCCGCCTTCATATTGTCATGCCTTTGAGTCATCTGTGATACCTGGAGCTCTGGGACTGTGCTTACAGATTTTGTTCTGATGCTCCACCCAGTCCAGTGCCACTTGACAAAAGCATTTTGTAAACACTGTTTTCCTTCTCCTTAATCCTCATTGGCTAAGCAGCTGCTCTGAGAGGCAAGAAACTTATAATCTCCTTGAACTGGAAGGTGTCTTGAAAGACAAGTCAAAGCTGCCCTCTCAGTTGACAATCTAACACAGGCCTGGTTTACTGAATGCCAGTGATTTGCACAGCATTGTGCAAGAGCTTGGGAGGAAGTGATTCAACCATCAATTAAATATACTCCCTGACCTCAAGTATCTAACAGGCTAGTGAAGGAAACAGACAGGTACTCAATTATAGCTCAAGACAGTACGGCACATGTTGAATCAACATGGTAAGTGGCTAACACTCTAGACCTGAGCTGTCCGGTGCAGTGGCTGCTAGCCACATGTGGCTACTTAAGTATAAATGAATTAAACAGAAATAAAATTTAAGATTCAGTTCCTCGGCCACACTAGCCACATTTCAAGCATGCAGTAGCTACATGTAGCTAGTGGCTGCCATATTGGAAAGTATAGAATAGAACACTTCAATCATCGTAGAAAGTTTGGTTGGACGGCTCTGCTCTAAATTAAAATGAAGTCAGTGGGAGAGGAAGTGGGAACCGTGAACAAATAGCAGGCCAGAAATCTGGGAGTCATTGAAACTCTTTCCTCTCTCGTGCATCTGCCACATCTAATCGGTCCCCATTCCTCTTTAATAGCTCCTGAAAGTCAACTCTCCTTTCTACCATTTGCCTGGTCAGTGGCTTTCCAGAGGCTCTGGCTAGCTCCCAGATCTCAACCCATCCAAGACAAACATTGTTGTCTGGCTTTTCTAGGGCCTGGACATTACCCCCAAATCCCCACGCATCTCCTGAGGAAGCTTGGCGTAAGATAGGACTTTATCCCACACCTAACGGCCACTAGTGCAAGAATACAACTTAGCACCCAAACACTCCTTGTTCAACACAGCATCGACCACCCCTCAGTCATCACCATCCCTTCTTGACACCTCCTCTCACCATTTTCAACTCCCCAATGTCCTCTTAATCAGAATAGAAGCCCTGAGCCCTCTCCCACTCGGCTTTGACATTCGAGGGGAGTCTTCTGCCAAGACACTTAGTGCTCTCCAGTTGCTACAAGAGGCTTCAGATACTGGGGTGCCAAGAGAAAGGAGGGTGCCATGTTAGGGTGCTCTGAACCCCATACGACATCTGCTCACAGCCCTTTCCATCCCCCAATAGCCATTTGTTACACTTACTGCCCATTGACCAAACTCCTGGTGTTGGGAAGCCAGGGACAGAGTGGCTTCTGGTTGATAAATGACATTTGTTCACCTCTTCCAGAAGCCCATTTTATACCAAATGTCCCGTTCTATAACTGGGCAGCCATAGCTGGTCTCGGACTCTCCCCCTGCCCCCAAACTTGTAGGGGAAGCAGCAATGAGGATGGGGGCCCTTGAAGGAACTCTGGCCAGGTGGAGGTGAGCAGAGCCTGCCTCTGAATTTCCTACCTTCCCTTTTCTAAGAAGCTGCTGTCTATGTTGCAAAAGGAGGGTTTGTTTCTTAAGGTGTGGGATTTATCGGGCTACTTCCAAAGTCCAAGTTCAGGGATGAAGACAGCTTCTTCCAGAGCTACTTGCGAGTTAATAAGCAAAGGTTTCCTTTTCTCTGATTGGCTTGGGACAAAACAGTGAAGAGAGGCCAAACATTTTCCCCAGTCCTAATGCATCTCCCTCCCCTCCTGGAGCAACTGCACTTTGGCCAAGAAGGACTCACCTGGAGCGGAGAGTGGGCCTCAGTCTAAATTTTTGCCCAGGCCCTGCAAACAAGGAGGCCACATGAGCTGTCAGGCATTGGGCCTTCGGGGCACCTGGCCAGCCTGGCCTCCAGAGCTATGGCTCTGTCCCGTGAAAACAAAGATTTCCTTGAGTAGAGCATCTGTCCTCAGCTCACCCCCAGCTGCAAAGCCTCAGGCGGCCGATTTGCCCCTGCTTTGAGAACCGTGTGAGAGAGAAGAGGCACTGGCAGCCAGTGGCATGAGTCTGCTCTGCAGGTGGCCTGGCCTGCGGCCCACTTTCCCACCACCAGCAGTGGCGACACCCTCAGGGTCTGACCGCTCCCAAGACAGAGGGAGGAAAGAACCTGGGAATTCCATGGCTCGGTGCCCTGCCCCACCCAGGCCTCTGAGCAGCACAAACGTCTTTGTCTGGTTGTCTAGGGCCTGGACATCTCCCAGAATTTTCCAAGCATCTGCTGAGGAAGGCTGGCATAGGACAGGACTTTGACCCAAGTCTACTGGTATGTAGGTCAAGAAGATAACTCAGCTCAGTCTCTCATGGGCCCGCCTCTCGCCGGGACCCACTCCGACTGCTCTTGTTAAAATAGCCCATGACCCTTGTCACCAAGGGCTTGGCACCAAGCACTCTTCTGCTTTCCTCTTTCATGAGTACTTTATCTATCTATCTATCTATCTATCTATCTATCTATCTATCTATCTATGAGAAAGGGTCTCATTCTGTCACCTAACCTAGAGTGCAATGGCTCATTCATAGCTCACTATAGCCTTGAACTCCTGGCCTCAAGCAATCCTTTGCCCTAGCCTCTTTAGTAGCTGATACTATAGGTATCCACCACCACACTCAGTTCTTTGACTGATTTTTTTAGAAATGGGGTCTTACTATGTTTCCCAGGATGGTATTGAACTCCTAGCCTTAAGAGATGCTCCTGACTTGACCTCTCAAATTGCTGGGATCACAGACATGAACCACCATGCCCAACCAATTAGCACTTCAAAGCATCTGCCAGTGTTGACTACCCTCTTCTTGTGCCCGGGGTTCGGCCCACGCTCCCAGTGTTTATCCTTACAGATCTTCCCCTTTAAGACAGGTGCTCTCCAGAACTGTTCCTCGGCTCTCAGCTCCTCTTGCTCCAAACCCTTTTTCTGCCTGTCTTGATTCACATCACGTCTCCCACGGGCAATGCCCTAATCCCTGTCTCCACCCCTGACCTGGCCACTGAGCCCTGGGCCTGCAAAGGTTTAAGTCAATACAGTTGCTACCAGCCATACAGGGAAATTTCAGTCAAAATTAAACAAAATAACCCATCCGGTTCTCAGTCACAGGAGCCGCATTTTATGTGCTCACATGGCTTGTGGCTACCATATTGGACAGCACAGCTGTTAGAACTTTTCGCCATCGCTGAAGGTTCTATTCCTCTTTGCTCTGCCATAAGACCCTTACAGCCCCCAGTGAACTCAACCCCTCCACCTGGCAGCTCAGTGGAAGACTGTGTCATTATGCAGACCTGGGCCAGAAGTCTGGGAGCCACTTGGATCCTTCCCTTCCTGCACCCGCCACATCTCATCCACTGCCAGCCCCCTTCAGGGCTCCCTCCTCTCCAACACCGCTTCTTCCCTGGCTCTGGCTGGCTCCTGCTTCCCATCTGTCTTCCATACTGCTTCCCAGAGGCAGCTTTTAAAAATGCAGATCTGAATGCCACCCTTGGCTTCAAGGGCTCCCCGTGCCAACAAAGGAAGTGGTTAAACCCTAAGCATTTCCATCTGGCTCATTCCCATCCCTTTGTGAGTTTCCTTCACTCTAGACCCTGAAGCCGCTCAGTCCCCAGCACAAGTCACACTTGAAGTCTCGTCCTCTTGCACAAGCCCCTTCCTGTGCGTAGATGCCCCTTCCTCCTACTACCTTCTCCATCCATGTGTTCTTCAGAGCTCTGCCTTAAGCCACCTCCTCCAGGAAGTTTCTCTGGCCCCCTGATGTGCTGTGGCTGCCGCTGCTCTCCTAGCACCCAGGACAGTGCTGGTCTACAATCATTGGTTTCCTTGTCTAGCCCACTCAGACTGCAAGGCCGTGGAGAATGGGAGGTGCCAACTCATTTCTCATGCAACTCCAGCACCTAGGATCTAACCTTCAACTTGGCTTGGATCCTACCTTCACCTTTCAGACACTCCCAGGTAGCAGAGCCATCATCCAAAAAGACAAGCACAGTCGAAAGCTGTTCAACTCTCTCTTACTCAGGTTACTGGAGGAGAGATCCAGGGTGCACCATTAAGTGTCACCAGAATGCTGAATCCTGGTGCAGCCATGTAGATTTCCTTTCCCGAGATGCTCCTCTTATCTGTACTCAGAACATCTATGTCCAATGCTACAAACCACCTGATGTCCAGGAATACAGTCTAACTAAATACATGTCAATGCATCCATATCATGGGAAACTAGAAAAACAAGGTGGTTGAAGAGGATGGTGAACTCAGCAATTGTGGCGAACCAGGAAACACATGCTCTATGGAAGGAAGGAAGGAGAGAGAGAAAGAAAAGAAGGAAGGAAAGAAAGAAAGAAAGGGAAAGAAAAAAGGGGGGAAAAAAAGAAAGAGAAACAGCAGCACACACTTGTAATCCCAGCAACATAGGAGGCCAAGGCAGGAAGATCATTTTAGCCCAGGAATTTGAGAACAGATAGGCAACACAGCGAGCCCCTGTCTCTGCAAAAAATTAAAAAATTAGCCAGGCTTGGTTGCATGTGCTTGTAGTCCCAGCTATTTGGGAGACTGAGGTAGGAAGATTGCTTGAGCCCAGGACAGGAGTTCAAGGCTGCACTGAGCTATGATTGCACCACTGCACTCCAGCCTAGGTGTCAGAGCAAGATCCTGACTCTAAAAAAGAAAGAAAAAGGAAGGAAGGAAGGAAGGGAGAGAGAGAGAGAGAAAGAGAGAGAGAGGCAGATTCAGTAAGCAGCACCAATTAGCAACCTCTATAAATACATGTTTATTGACATGGAAAGATCACAAGCAGCGATCAGTGGAAATACAGGTTGAAAACACACACACGCACATACACACACACTCAGCCACAGAGACCCATAGGCCACCCACCTGGTTGCTAGCGGCAATTATCTGTTGGTGATGAAAATGCAATGCTTAACATTTTCTTATTTTGGCTTCTCTGTTTCTGTTCCCTAGAAGAGTCACATCCTTTTTTCACAGTGAGTACACATTATTTTCTACTTAGAAAAATGACAAATAAACCCACCCTGGGAACAAAGGGAGCATTTTGTTTATTCCAGGAAACTCAACTCTATGCATAGAAAAGTAGAACATGGAGAAAAAAGAGGATGTGTTAGGTGACACTGCATCAAACGTTCTCAGCAGAACAGGGTGGCATATAAACTGACCTCATGCTGAAGTCTCACATTCTTTGTCACTCGTTCAACAAGTGTTTATTGAATACCTACTATACAATCAGCACTGGCCTGGATTCTCAAGACACGTGGAACAAGAAGATGATGCACTAGAAGCCCTGGCAGTTACAGCATGGGATGTGTCAGGTCGGGAAGGGCACAGGTGACAAGGAGTTCAGCAAAATGACACCTCCCCGGGGGCTGGAGTTAGGCAAGCCAGAGAGGACACACCTCCTAGTAGCAGGGAATCTGTTCTGCGTTAGACACACCACTCACGAGTGGCCCTTGCTGCTGAAGGAGGTTGCCTGTGTAGAGCCAGGGCCATGAGACAGAGGGAAACAGAGTCCTGTCCTCGAGCCCATTTCTGTGAGTTCTGTGCAATGACCAGGTGAGTTCCTGGATGCAGGCGTAGCCCCAGCATTTATCAGAGATTCCTTCTGGCAAAGCCCAGCTATGGTTGATGGGACCCACTCGGTTCCAGGTGTGGGGCTTTCCATACACGGCTGAGCTAAACCCTTACAATGCTTAATCCTCAATTTTACAGATGCACAGACGGGCTCAGAGTGATGGAGACACTTGCCCCAGGTCCCACAGCACAGAAGTGCTGGAGCTCAGGTTAGACCCAGGTGTGTGTGACAGCAAAGCACATCCCACTTCACGTCTAGAGGCCTCCAGAAAGAGGCCAGAGAGCCAGGCTCCTCCCGACAAAACACCCACCCACTGGGCTCAGGTTTAGAGCACCCACTGATTAGCTTACTTGATAAGAGCTGGAACAGTCGCAGCAGCTGCTAGCTTTGAGGAATATATTCACCAGTCAAGCCCTTACATTCATTCATTCAACAGAGGATCCCTGAGTGTCGACTACATGCCAGGCATGGTATAGGCCACCAGGGAATATATATATGTCTTCACTGATGCTATGGGCTAAGATCTGCCAGGTGCCAGCCTATTGGCATCTTAAAACACATTGATGGATCTCCTCATCATAGGTATCCCTTCATGGGGAGAGGGGCCTGCCCTGAATGCCAGAAGACCCAAGAGCCCCGTGATCATCCCAAACCCACCCAGATTCTCCCATCTCTTAGACTCTTCACAAGGAGAATGGGGCCAAGTGTTTCTGAGCACGCCCCAGTTTCCAGCTCTGAAGACTAGCCCCAGAGACCTGCAGGGCAGAGTCGCAGGGCTCAGCCCGCCTTCTGGTCTGCACTCGCCTCAAACCCACCCAGGGTTGGCAGCTTTCCCAAGCAAGGTCCTTTTCCTTCCCTGGTCTTCAGGGCAGAGGGCGGCTGGTAGCCAGATGTCCCACTGGGGAGGAGGGTGCAACCCAAGGCAAAGAGTTTGGGGCATTCCACCAAGTGTGGCTCTAAGACGTGGCCAAGAGCAACATTTGACCCAGCACAGGGCACCAAGAACTTAACTTCCCCCACACTGCCCTTCCTGCCTGTCTGCCTCTGTTCCTCCTCCCCTTGAATTCAGCCTCTCTGCCTGCCGTCTTCTGCTCTGCTCTGTCTCACTTCAAGGAAAATTCTTGCAGAAGCCAGGGAGATGGTCAGACACTGAGGCTCAGCCCGACCCACAGCCGTCTTGACGGCCATCCTGGATGGGGCAGGTGCCCAAGGAGGGGCCTGCAGGCCTATACCTGCCCTGTCTGAGGCTGGAGAAGGTGTTGACTCCAGTGACAGGACACGGATGCCCCAGTGGATGGTGAAGGGCAGGGACTTCTATGTCCCTGCCCAAGACCATCCCCCTTGGAGCCACATTCAGATACCAAGTCAAGTTCTAGAAATTGAGTATGGGCAAGAATAGGTGGCTTGAGGGG